TTTATATTTTCTTTGAATTTTCAGGGTAATGGCTGCAGCTTTATCTCTCACAATGGGTCGATTAGGCGCGCTGGTCGGTAACTTAGTGTTCGGATACCTGATCGACTTGGCCTGTGTGGTTCCTATAGTTTTATTCGCGGCATTTTTATTCCGTGAGTATTCTACACCATAAATTATTTAAATACGGAAAAATATTTTTAACGTTATTACAGATTTAAAGAAGAATTTGTGGAATTTATTTATTTATAGCGTGAATTGATATTCTTGTTTCTTTATTATTTTTCTTTTTCTAGTTTGTGGATTTATGTCTTTCCTGTTGCCGAAAACAGGAAAAGAGACCCTTGATTAACCGGAAAATCTCGTCTCCTGGAGAGAATCGAGAGAAGAAAATATTTCCGGCAGTGGAAGAACGATCGATTTGCGTTGACAAGAATCATTCTTCAATTAGAAGAAATTCGATCTCTATATTGACAAACACTAGTGTTGTATTACAGCTACTAGCGATCGATGGGAATTTTTCGCACTTCGATCTCTACGAACGTTTCGTACTTTCGTATAGAAAATAAGATGACGTGTAGGATTTTCATTGGAAAGTCCGTATTATATTTTTAACAGCGTGTAAATTCGTGTAAATATGTAATATTTATTCTGCGAACGTTTTACGTATCATTTTGTGAAAAAGGATCAAGTATTGTGATCATCAATTAAATGGAACTTGATGTACAGACGCGGTTATTCAAATTGCGCGCCAAAACACGTCTGAACGAATATTTGATAAGCGATACGTTATTTACGAACATAAAACTAAGAGACGCTGTTCAGCGTTTGTAATTCCTTTATTTGTCTGTAAAAGAAAAACCTGTATTCCGAAACCTGTAAGAATAAATATGACTCCAAGAAGTACAAATACTGCATGTTCGATTTTGAGGTTAACCCTTACTCTACATAAAGTAAAGATATGCATATATGTATACACGTGAAATACAAATATCACATAGTTTCCCCTACTATTTTATCTATTGTCGAATCTATTACATAATATGAGAAAATAGATTTATAGAAAAAAAAGAACTAAAAAATAGAAAAAATATCTGTAACTATCATTGTCACTTTGATCGAGACAAAAATAATACGACGATACTTAATCTTCATTTAATAAACCGTGTACCCAGCAACAATAACACAGTAATTTTAATTGCGACACCAGAAATGGCTATCTAAATGGGTAATTCAATCTGTCCTATATTATCGAACGTTCAAGACGTTAGTTAAAAAAGGACGGAATGATAGCAACGTAACGGCAAGAAAGTACCCAAAAGGCGCTATCCTTATAACCAAAGAAATAATAACGTACATCGGTAGTGGAAGTTACGGTATTTGGTTGTGTGTTGAATACGATGATGAGTTGCAAAAGATAGTTGGGTATCAACGAGAAAAAATTGCGCGAAGTATGTGTTGCGAATGATCGACGCCGTGTTTCGACCGTGATATGATCTTCGCCTCAAAGTCGAGCGAAATTTCGTCGTGGCGCTGTTTCAACAGCTGATTAACTGGCAATCTCTGAGCAAAATTCTCGTTTTCTAGTCACTTCAGTAATCCACGATAAACGATGGCCGGATTCGTACTGAGAGTTAAAACAAAATCGGGTCAAAAGGTCGTGAACGGGCTGGTCGCGCAGGACAAGGTATGCAAATTGAAATCGAAGCTCTCCGATCTAACGGGAATACCAGGCGAGGCGCTTCACGTTCTCGGTGGCTTTCCACCAAGAGCTATTGATCTTAACGATGAATCGAGCTCGCTCGACGTGATCGGTATCCTCTCCGGGGATACTTTGATCGTCGAGGAAAAGCCACCACTGTACAATGGGAAACAAAAGTCGGAGGAAATTGGCCGATCTCATATCGTCGACGAGGAGAGCTTCACAAATACACTTGGTGTATTGATGAAAAAAGTCGTACCTGCAGATAACTCTTGTCTATTCACCAGCGTTGGTTATGTGCTTAATGGTACACAATGTAAATCGCAGTACTTATTGTTAATGTTGAAACATCTGCCCATTATCACTTTGTCACACTTATGAATGTAATACATTCAGTATATCTTTTAATTTCATAACATATTTTTAGGTAAGGTTGACCCTAGTTGTGCAAGCTTCATGAGAGAGATTATAGCAAACGCAGTGGCAGCTGATCCTGAAGAATATTCTGAAGCTTTTCTTGGTCGACCAAATGCTGAATATTGTAAATGGATTTTGAAATCAGAATCATGGGGTGGAGCTATAGAATTATCAATATTATCAAAATTTTATGGATTAGAAATAGCAGTAATTGACAGTATAAATGCTATAATCAATAGATTTGGAGAAGATCAACATTATGCTCAAAGGGTTTTCCTGATTTTCGATGGAATTCATTATGATCCTTTGTATTTGGAATCTCTTGATGTGAGTGAAGTACTTTTTGTTGAAGATGCTATATTATCATATTTTTGTTTATTACAAGTTTTTCCATGTTCATATACAGGGTGGCAACATTCAAACAATCTTTCCTACAGAAGATGAAAGGATGCTATTTGAAGCAGCTGAACTTGCAAGAGAAGTCAAATCTAGTCGTCAATTCACAGATATTCAAAAGTTCACATTAATGTGCAATGATTGTAAAGTTAAATTAAATGGACAAGTAGAAGCTCAACAACATGCCAAGGAGACAGGTCACATGAATTTCGGCGAAGTGGCCGCGTAGCAAACTAAATCGATACCTCGACAATTTATGGATCATTTTTAATTGAACTGCTGTTTGAGAATCCTACTAAATTCAAGTCTTAAGCAGAATTTTCTACTTAAATGAGGCTTGTAAGCGGACTAGCTATTTCATATGGATACTTTGTTGTTAATATAAGATATATGCAGTGCACTATGAGGATTGTTTAGACATAATATACACAGATTGTTAATTTTGACTAAAGAACAAACTTCTTTTACCAAACGCTAAAATTCTTTGTTCTGCATGACATTTATGCAATCACTTTTACCACAGTAAAAGTAACTTTTATACAATATACTCGAATATATTATACCCTCAAAAAATCCTTGTTTTGTTTAAATTTTTATAAAAGTTTGCAGTTATAAAATGTAACTTTATCTAATCACAGTAGAAGACTAATTATTTGAATTGGTGTAATTTACGATAATTGTATTATTATAAAAAAAATATTCGATTTTACACGAATTGAATTTTAATGCAATTTTTCTACTCATGAGATATCTACTATACATACATAGTATGTTAGAGATATACTCTTTGGCGAGATTAAGAATCTGTGATACTTGGTTAAATTTGCCTAAACGGAATTCATAGCCATACTGGCAGTAAATGTGTTCCAGCATAACAAATAGAGCCGCGGATAAATATAGAATAGAAATAAGAGGATATTTTCACCGCGAATTTCCTATTCGATTCGACGATAAATAACAAAAAAAAAAAAAAGGACAGAATGATCTACTTTGTTAATAATAAATTTCCACTACAGAGAGCCCACGGTTTATACGGAGATATTTGCAATTCCAATTTACCTAGGAACATTGGATTTGCTAACTCTTGATCACCCAGGCATGTAATCAAAAGTTCTTGTACTCAAGATATGGAAACAGTTTGCTCGAACAATAGAGAAACAGGTGTATGTGTGTGCGCGCGCGCGCGCGTGAGTGTGAGTGCGTGTGTGTGTAATACTAGGATATTATAATTATTTTGTTATTGCGATTTTTACGTGATTAAATATGCACTGTAAAAATATACATGTTCCGATAACAAAAATGAAATTTAATTTTTGTAACTACGATACTTATTAGAGTTATACTATTCCAGCACAATTTCTTTTATTATATCAAGTATAAGATGATTCACTCTCTCACAGTAATCCACTATTGCGATTCTAAACTAGACATCGGCAGAAATATTTATTGCTCAGGAAAAATTTATCATAGTCCTTCACAGATTTATATTTATACAATAGCATAGTATATTTTGTAAGTACTATTGTTTCGAAAGAGTAAAATAAACCAGTTATTTACATTATTTAATTTCTCTAGAATTTTTTACGAATTACTTATTGCGTTCAAATATGAAGTTGTACGCGTTCAAAATGGCACCCAGTTTAAACCCACGGTCAGAAAAGAATTTCAATATTTTTTAACTTAAACTCGAAATTAAATCACTCACCAGTTCGTACAGTATGAAGATGAACAAGCAAAGAATCATCAATGCACTCAAAATGACATTTTCCGAACGAACTAACTTTTGAAATGAAAAAATTGAAACGAGCACAAAGTTCAACGCGCGTTCCATTAATTTTGAATCTAGACAACGACGAAGTACATACTAGAAAACGGTCGGTAAGTTAACATTTTCACCGGACAGGGAGCGCACAAAACGTGTTGCACATGCATAGATGGCGGGTTGTTACCAAAGTAGAAACGACGCACCGTTTTTAGTAGGCTGCCAACCGTAAGCGAGACGTGTCAGGCGGTAGCTTTTGTTGTAATTTAATACAAAAGGGAACGAACTGGGAAATGTGAGCCATTTCGCGTATAGTTACAGTGACTTCATGCAATTAATTGCGAAAAGTTGAAGCTTATGTCAGGAGACCGAAACACGTCGTGTGTCGGTCGTGGGAATTTGGGCATGGTGTGTTACATGAAACGATTATTGATATAAGAAAATGTCGCTGCTGCCGACGACGTTACGTTTAGCCAAAAGAAATTCACTGACAAATAGGTGAAGATGGAAGATGAGGCAGATCTCAGAGAACAACTATTTCACAACACAGTACGGGAGAACATTGTGAGTAGAAAGGCCGATGTTTTTATTTGTTATGAAACCCTTGTTTATTGACCTCCAATATATATGGAGGGTTCTTGGAATTTCTTGTAACGTTCCTGCAATAGGCAATCGCCACGTCTCCCTCGTAATTCAATTCGAAATTTAGTGTACTTAATCCATAAACGAATTTATTTTTATGTTTGACTGAAAGTTAGAAAAAAATTTTCCCTCTCGTGCCTAACCTTTTAGTCATCGTAATGCATGAAATTCTTTGTTCCTATTTTACGATCGTACTTAATGTGTAACATCAAAATTGAAAATAAGGATAAAATGAGCGAAATGTACAAGCAATATGATTTTATTTCATATTTGTACATTTTGTGAAATTATTGATAAGTGTGTTACTGTCAAAGGAATTTCATGTATGTATCTAATATGTTTTTAAAAATAAAACAATGTTTAAAGGAAGGAAATAAGTGCAATATGTACATAAAGTAATTGTTCTTCCTTTATATCGCCATTAAGGGAAATCTGTATAAATATATAATGAATTCCATAGGTACACACATGTACAACATTGCCGTTAATAGCTGATAAGGGGATTTCCATTATGAAAACAATCAGTCTAACATTTCCTTTATCCTGTTACTATTTTTAATGTTTTCAATACCTCAAAAAAAGCTTGCTTGGTATACATATATTTTTGTAAAATAATCTATTCTTTTGTTTCCTCTGTCGTAATCTCAAACGTTACTCAGTGACATCTATTAATCACGCAAGTATCAAGTTTCTCAATGGATTTTTATACATTAGCCCAATCGCAACCTTACAAAGATAAAATTAGTATTTCCAACTGACATGTTTATTTACCAATTTTTACATGAAAAATTGATATTGCGCGACTGCCAAGCAAAACAATATATATCGAGATATACGATCATATTAAAAGAAGCACCGTACTAGAACGCGATATACGCATATGTATACCTGTTGATAAAATAGAGATCGGAATCTTCTTAGCAGATTAGGGTAAATCCTTAACGATGTTACGTGTACATCGTCGCGACAAAAATGTAAATACATCGTATCGAGAGGTTTCATCCGCGGTATAGATGTCGCGCTGTACCATCGCCAGTACGTCTGCCCTTGATTTTACACGCTTTGTTTAATGCACTTAATTGAATAATCGTTGGTATTCATGGCACGGAGGAATTTCGACGGAAACACACTCTTCGTAATATGCTTTCTCAATACTTTCATGCCGTGTCGTTGACCAGCCATTATTTCTGATCTCTGACCGGTTTTTCCTTCCACCTTGGCTGGGCGCAAAAAGCGGTTTCCAACTGACTATGCAGCATCTCCGAACATTTCGCAGACAACGACGATTCCGAACAAAGTTGTACACGATTTTCTTACGAACCATTCAATAATACTTTCTATTTGCTAACTGTACAAGCCGAGGTAAATTCGGGACATTCTTGAAAGTACAGTTCGTCAACTATACGTTGAACAAATAACAACGATAAAAAGACTCGACTTAATGACGAGTTTCACGCCGTACATAGAAATACCTTTTACGTGAAACAAGTTAGTGGCGACTTCTTCTGGTAGAAAAGCTAAAAATACACCCGGTCAAAGACAACATGGGTTCCCATTGTGGAACGCTGTAATTTTCTTTTTTTTTTCTTTTTTTAGAAGTTGAATTCTATTTTATCAATTTCGATTAAAGGTGATGTGCTATTTGTGGCTTATTTATGGCACACTTTGTATTAAGAATCAAAATATTTTGTGGGGCGCAATTTATCGTTGAATATAATTCGAACTAAATTTAATAGCTAGAATCGCAATCAGGAACGAGGAATGCAGTACCAGAGAAATTACACTGCCAAAATTTATTTGAAACGTCTGGTTAAAGATGTTCGTTCAGTCACTTTTAGTGTTAAGTTGATTTACGTATAAAGGTGAAAAAAATTATTTTTTAATTTGAGGTGTTCTTATCGTACATTCCTCTCTTTTGATAGAGTGCCAAGTGTCGTAAACTGCAACGTTATCAATAAATATTGATAAGTCTCGAAAATTACCGATCGTGTAAACTGTCGATGTTATCACATAATTGTTAATAAGTTTCATTAAAATTATGATCATCAAACAGGTTAGTGTTTAAATTCGAATCATATTTCAAGTATTTAGACATTGGACCATTACTATTCTAAGTCTTTGAATAAACTCTGCCAATTGAAGAGCCATCAAGAACAGTGTTAATCAAACTTAATGTTAAATGTTAATTGTCAATTGGTACATGTTTGTAATTATTTTTTATCACAAATTTTAATTTGTAATTTCTTCATTTTTGTTTTATTTATAACGACCGGTTTCATTATCACGGCCAGTAAAATATTACTAGTTATGGGCACGAACTTTAAATAGTTGATGTATTATAACTTTCTTCATTTATTTTCCGCTCTGTAAGTAAACTTTATCTGAAAATACCCAAGTGTGTTTATTCTCATGCGAATAACAATATCTTTAACATAATGCAGTTTAATGTGTTTACCGTTGTCTATCGAGGCCGACGTGCGTGTATATGTCTGCTTATCACGTATTTAAACAAAACAGAGATAAAAATAAAATCTGGCAAGTAAATGTTAATGTTCATGTAAAAACGCAAAGAAGAAAACGGCCCTATTATTCTTAAAAAGGAACAATGTACTTATGTTGACCGTTACCGGTTTCTTCGTAGCCTTTTGTCTTTATCGCAGATGTTATCGTCGCGTGGCTATGACAATAGTAATACGTATGCATTCCCCAAAAACAACATGTCGTTAAAACTGTGAATACATAGCAGCCAACACAGCTCTAGCGGTGAATGTCAGTATTAATAATGCAGGTTATCGATCTTGCTTTTCAAATATCACTATACGTTAGATTTAACAGATTAATGTAAAAAAGTGGAAACATCGATTCGCACCCCATATCATTAAAAAAATTCAAGAAATAAGGTAGAATAGGTTATTGGAATGTATTTTCGTTATTGATATATGTTTATTTTTAAAAATAGAGCGAATTCTTTGTACAGAAATATGTTGATTCTTGTATTGATCGATAATAGTTATTAATATGCAATCGATAATTATTAGTGAGAAGTGTACAATGCTTTACGTTTCGTTTAAAAGGAAACGCTGTTCCGCCTATTATGCGACGCGCTAGAGGAACAGGAGAGGATGGAAAATTAATGTTAGCGTGCGCGATAACCGAGAGGGACACACGGAAGTTTATTGTAGCGGAAGTTTAGAATAACGTAACGGTCTGTCGTACGAAATCCCCGAAACGGCAATCCTCTGGTCGCATTTTCATTGCAGTAAAATTATTACAACCGTAGGCGGCAGCAATTTGTCAAATATTTAAATTTGGGGCAATAGCCAGTAGCCATTTGGATATACAGATAACCCTCGTATAACACGGTTGTTAGGTTCCTAAAAAATGGCGTGTTATGCAAATTCGTGTTATATGAAACAAAGAACTAGTACGAAAAAGGGGGTTAGGTTCCAAAAATGAAAAAAAAAAAACATACTATTATATCTTTATAACTAAGAGAAATATTTTTATTAAAGCAATTTTCACCAAAAGTATAACATATTAATATGTATTAAATAAAAATAATATGTACTTTTTTATTTCCGCTAGACATAGTTCAGGGCTGCAAATTAATTCACAAAAATGAAAAACGTAATTATCATTTCTTTAAAAAAGGTTGAATAATACTAATTTCAAATGAAATATCTTTGGCTTTTAAAAGCTCTTATTATGTTGCTAGGATACCGTGTTGCACGAGGGTTGTCCCCAATTCTCGAACCGTGTTAGAGCGAAACCGTGTTATATGGGGGTTACCTGTATTACTCTATTGGTAAAACAGTTCAACGAAAAATAAAAAGTTTGACTTCAATTTCCGATCGATCGTTTTAGCGATTATGAGATTGTCTTTTACAAGATAAAACTAGCTACTCGTACTTCTATTCGTACCTTACGTAATTAAAAAGTCTAAGTGATTTTCGATCGATAAAGTTTATCTCGACTTTAAGAATAAATTGAATGCTAACATTGACGTCACTAGGAACAACTTCAGCGAAACATTTCGTCACGCGTACACTTGTAAAGCTGCCACTTATCTCCAAATCTCGGTATTTATTTTTCGCTTTGTCTTGCGACTTTTACGACTGATTTCCCAGTTCTTTGACACATTATCATACACAAATTACAATTCGTCGACGTCCTATGAAAATCTTCATGCATGTATTATTCCTAATCAAGCATTCTTCATGTCGTATAGGTATTATCGCATCTGTAACCGATTGAGTTATCGTAATCATTATTAAGGTCATAAGAGCCACTATATTAGTACATAATTTCAAGTCCTGTTTTTTATCGTCTGTTAAATACACTGTAAAGTATAAAAAGCGGTAAAACGTTGACAAATATGTGATCAAGCATACCAACAAAGATATACGTACAATAACATGCGAAAAAAAAAATGGAGAGACAAGTGTAACCTCATAACATTGCTCAAGGTTATTCTTTTTTACACTATTTACGCTTGCATCTTGCGTATCAATTCTCTGTGTATTCTTCTCAATAACATACCTACGTGACTTCCATACAATTCCGTATTATACATTATCCTATGCTATATTTTTACAATTCAAAGTATATCCGCTCTACTTACAGTCTTCGACATTGTAAAACGACGGGTTTTGAGCATGAAACGATCCAAACCTATGATTAGGAACTTTATCTATTATTGCGAAACTATGTTTCGAAATAGCATTTGTTCTAATTTTACCACGTGCGTCAATAAAACAAAGAAAAGTGATAAGAATAGTTTATAACTCGATATAAGGATTTTAAAACTGTACAAAATTCAGAAATATGTAGTTGCAACGATTCGAACGTACGGTATTAACTTTTCCGTGGACATGATTACATACCACACAAGTCTGACAGCGACGCAATCGACCGCAAGTCTTGAAGGAAACACATCGCCGTTTTGCATTGTTGTTACCGAAGCGATTCTGTTGTAGAAAGTTAACTTGCGTCGTTATGGCACTTAAAAGTAATGTTCATTCAAAGCCACGCATCGAAGATCGTTTAAATCACGGTTATGCGTACCCTCTGTGTTCACGTAGCGCAATGTAAACTGCATGTGTACACGGTCGATAAGCACGGTGCAACGTATTCCTAAAAGGCACGGATTGCGCGTGTATTCGTTACCGGTTTTCGCAAGAAAACAATGTTAAGTGCTTTTTATATCGCGATTTGATAAGAAAGTTGTTATCTTATTATGATACTCACATGGAAGATCGCTCTTTAAGATTTATCGATGTGATTTTTTTTTTTAAACTCGAATGTCTTCTATTTTAACGAACAGTTTTAGCACATGCCGTAAGGCTTGCTAAGTTGCACCCTCTATGTATCAGCAAGTTAACAACATAATTTTTTCCTTCAATAAATAGCACTGTTTGCATTTTATAGCGTTAACTCCCCCCCATAACTGATGTAACATGTGATATAATGCTTAACATCATCTCTTTATATGTATATCAATGATATGATTTTTTTATTTCAGAAAATTTTAAAAATGTATTACGAAGTTAAATTTCACGCACTTTTTAAGTCGGTTACTTTCGATTAAAATTAATTAATTGTAATTTACGATAAATTAATATTTAGCCATAATAATTTAAGTTAGCAAATTATTTAATGGAATGTCTCTCCAATGAAATTTCATGATATGTATTGGCTACTAAGGATAAAGGGATTTTAATTTGTGATAGCTTAGATAAGTTAGCGCAGATAACTAAACATAACCTTAAAAGTACAAAAGTGTAACGGATTGTTTCTTGCGATTGTTTCAGATATTCTTCCTGTTATTCCTGGTTCTCTACGTTTCAAGCTATGCGTTGATAGCGAAATTTCGACGAAAAGATCGCGAAGATTATTTCTCAGTGGATGAAGATGAAGCAACGGTCTACAGGATCAGCCTCTGGCTGTGTACCGTTGCTCTGGCGGTTTCCGTCGGAGCGACCTTACTACTTCCGGTTTCAATAGCGAGCAATGAAGTGCTCATTTTATACCCGAACAGCTATTACGTCAAATGGCTCAATAGTTCTCTTATTCAAGGTACATATGTCTTTCATGAAAATCAACTTTGTCCATTATTCGTTCCATATAGTTCGATTCTTGATTATTTGGAAAAAAAAAATATGGCGAAAGTATCTTTTTTAGATACATACTTCAAGATCGGCATCATGTTTTCGGTGTAAACGATCGATTTAAAAAAATACGAAATCATTATTTTTAACTTTCTTTAACAATTAGGTCTGTGGAATCATGTGTTTCTCTTTTCAAATATGTCTCTCTTCGTATTTCTGCCGTTCGCATATTTGTTCACGGAATCAGAGGGTTTCGTCGGTTATAGAAAGGTGAGATATTTTTGCATTTTTTTAATACTAATAATATATTCTTGATTCATTTTGAATCGTTTGTTAAAGTTATTATTCATTGTAGGGTGTAATGGCTAGGGTTTATGAGACAGTGACAGTTCTTTGCCTATTGGGAACACTAGTACTAGGGATGACATATGTTTTATCAGCACTGATAGATTATCAAAAATCGAGCCTTCATACTTTGCTCAGCAAGTATATTAAAAAACCATAAAATATCAGCATACATATACCAACACTATCATCGTTATTCTATATTACAGATTTATCAAGTTACTATTTACCCTTCCTTTACTCTTGCGTTTCCTTTGTTGGCGTTGTTATGCTATTACGTAAGTATAATTAAATAACTATTCGTTCATCAAACACAGTAAGAAAGAATTTTTTTTATTTAACCTCACAGTGTGTACACCAATGGGATTTGTAAGATTATTCGGAGTAGTTGGTTCGTTTCTTGTAAAGCCGCAGTTCCTAAAAAACTTAGACGAAGAGTTTTTCGCTTACAGGCTAGAAGAGGATTGTATTCGAAGAAGGTCAGCTATCGGTTACTATTCGTACCATTCCAGCCACTAGATTCGCTTCAAAACGCTTTATAAAACCCGTTGTTATACACATAGACTGCAACACGCGAAAACAACGGGAAAATCATACGTTTCGCCAGTGCCTATGTCGATACCAACTTGTTCAGTGCTCGAGGATGATGAGCTTCTTAATGCGAAGCCGAGCTTGATGTGCTTAAGAAACGGTGCTCTCCAACGTGGATTGACTCAACGATTGGAAGACATTCAAAAACGAAGAAGCACCTTGGATCAGCAAAGGCGAACCTGGTGGGTTCGGCGTACTTTGCTGTACCCTTTGGCCATGTTAGCACTACTTATACTCTCCACTGCCACAGCCTTATTAGCTGTTCAAAATACATTAGAGTTACTTATTGGTATCAAGGCACTACCTTTAAGTACAAGGGTTAGTATATAAATTGGATATTAACGCGCTGCATCTGTATGGAATAAGGAAATATGCATTTTGAATTGAAATAATAAAGTGACCAATGCTTTTAGCAATTTACCTTGGGCATCAGCTCGTTGTCGAAGCTAGGTCCCATTGGAGCAACAATAGAAGTGGCAGTAATTTTGTATCTGGCTGCTACGAGCGCAATAGGTTTGTACACACTTCCGGGCGTTAGAAATGTCCGACCACGGCTTCATTCCACACCGCTTACTCACCTCATCGCGAATTGCGCCCTTCTTCTTGTACTAAGCTCAGCGTTGCCACTGTTATCTCGAATATTAGGTAACTTCTTTCAATCAAGCAAACAGGTTCTGCTGATCGACCGTGTGCTATATGTTATAATGTACACTGATCAATTGTTTGTTTTAGGTATGACAAATTTCGATTTGCTTGGCGATTTTGGGCGTATCGAATGGCTTGGTAACTTCAAGCTAGTACTGTTCTATAATTTAATCTTCGCTACAGCAGCGATCAGTTGTTTAGCAACGAAGTTTACGGCGACCGTACGCAAAGAAATTTACGCCAGATTACGGAGTAGCCTAATAGGAATCTTCAGGAGCGAAGGTAAGAAAAGTTCTACGGGGATGTTTTCTACGAAAGAAGATTAGACTGACTTACATCGTAAGCAGAGGGAAAAATATTTACAATTTAATGTTGAAGAAAAAGTAACTTAAAGGTGAATAATTGTATTTGTGTAATGTTACATGATATTAATGATATAAACGAGTAAAATTGTGGATCATGTTTGTGTGCGAGTGTGTTTATAATTAAAAAAAATTTCTATTTAGATCCGTACATTCGTGAAGTAACATTTTAATCGTTTTAATGGTATATATGGTCCTGATAAAATGTGTTGAAAGTTTAATTGGATGATATTCGAGCGGAGGCCAGTTACGAGTACATACAGTTACTCACTTTAATATTCGGACACTATAATACTTTTAAGTATAATTGCTTTATATCTTCCTGAATTATTAAAATATTTATTCACTAGTTTTTTACCATGTTAACTTATTTATTATAGACAACAGAAACATAAAAAATTATTTTGTAATTGCAACATGTCCTTACGTAATGAAGGATAAACAAAACGATGTCTATTTTACGCGTTACAAAAATATTCGGACACTACAAAAAGTTACATTATGTACATACATTTTACATAAGATTAAACAAAAATTCAGTATTTTGTTGGATATCCCTTATGATGAATAACTTGGCTTAAACGCTTAGGCATGTTTGAAATGATTTTTTCTAAATATTCACTATTAATATTGTTCCATTCTTCTTGTACTCGAATTTTTAATTCTGTTTTTGAGTGTATTGGGGTATTCCGTATTTTTCGCTCTAATTCATCCCACAAATTCTCGATGGGGTTAAGGTCTGGAAACTGGGGAGGTGGATGCAGCACTTTTAGACAATTATATAATAAGTATTCCTGCACAATTCGCGATTTGTGCTTAGGGTCATTGTCTTTATAAAACTTAAAACGATTGCGGATTCCCATTTTCTCAGCACTTTTTAATAAATTTTTCTTCAGAATCTCTAAATATTTATTTTTATCTAGGATTTCGTCAATAAACACTAATTCGCCAACTGCAACGCTTGATATGCAGCCCCACACCATCACACTTCCTGCTCCGTGCTTAACGGTTGGTCTTAGATTTTTTGGTTTCCATTCTTCGTTGATTCTCCTCCACACTATACCCCTTCCATCTGAACCAAAAACGTTGTATTTACTCTCATCAGCAAAAATTACATCCAGCCACCATTCTTCTTCCTTTGAAAAATATTCTTTTGCGAAGTTTAATCGCTTTCTCCTGTTTATTTTATTCACATACGGCTTCCTTCGTGCAATTCGTCCATTGTAACCACTTTCTTCGAGTGCCCGTCGAACAGTCTGTGGGTTTGCGACGTTAATTGCGGTGCACTTAATTGTGGATTTTCCTTAATTTTCCTTATAATTATCCTCCTATCTCTGGAATCGAGAAGGCGTGGACGTCCTTTTTGAGGTTTCAATTCAATGCGATCTTCTGTTTTGTACCGTGTAACAATATCTGCTACAGTACTTTTCTTCATGTCCAATAAATTTGCTATTTGACGATAGCTTTTGCCTTTTTCGTAATTAAATATCACGAGTTGCCGTTTATCGAAACTTGTGTTTCTTTCTCTTCGTGGCATTTTGAGTATTTGATGTTTATTGCTCAATTTCCTGACTTAGACTGACTTAGACTAACGGAGGACAGTAACGCTACTGTTATGTTTACATTTTAGACGTAAACATCGGATTAGATCGCTTCTTAGAATTAATCGCTTATTGTGTCCGAATATTTTTGTAACGCGTAAAATAGACATCGTTTTGTTTATCCTTCATTACGTAATGACATGTTGCAATTACATAATAATTTTTTATGTTTCTGTTGTCTATAATAAATAAGTTAACATGGTAAAAAACTAGTGAATAAATATTTTAATAATTCAGGAAGATATAAAGCATTATACTTAAAAGTATTATAGTGTCCGAATATTAAAGTGAGTAACTGTATATCGTTACACATCTGTGCATGTGCGTGTGTGCATATAGTTATATTGATTATTTATTATACGGTCGCTATTTTAATAATTATACATATACCGAAAGTATACATACCAGTTTTATATAGGATGTTTCAGAAATAGGTAACTAAACTTCAAGAACTTAACCATAAAGACAAGAATTATCCTTTTAATTTTCTTTAAATAGCTGGAAATTATTTACATCCAAATTATATGTTAAAAAGGAAATTTTTACCAAACACATGATCGTATGATCCTTTTTATCCTGATAGTGAGTGGAATACATTTTCGAGGTTTGACTCATCTATTCCTGAAACACTTGTATATGTGAGTTGACTTAGAACGTGCAGCTCACGGCAATGACAACGCAGTATTGTGATAAAGACACACGTGTGCGAGTGTTCTGGAAATCAAAGAATTCTCAATGTAGCAAATAATGCGTGTATGCCATATATACATAATCTTCGATGTATGACATTTAGAACTTCGTCTTAAAATGTTCAAAGAAAAAGAAGGAAACGTGGTCTAATATTGAAAGAAAATATTTTTTATGTTAATAGTGTCTTTTTCTTTGGAACGGTACAGTAATTCTTGTTTAGTTAGCGACCTATAAAAAAAGTTCTGTAATTTCCTTTTCCTATTTTCGTGCGAGAAAAGGGAACAGGCTGAAGTTTCTTTTCTAAATAGTGATTGTCGTTTAAACCTATATTTATTTTAAGATATTATTGGGTTAATTAAGTGTAAAAGAACCTTTTAGGATGCACCTTTAGAAATTTAAACGATTAATTTCCGTTCGTGAAAAATGCCGTGTGCATAGGTAATCTGATGTGCCTAAGTTATTACTTTAATTGAGTAAAATGGTTAGTAATAGAAACATACGTACATATAGAAGTACACAAATATGATTGTACATACATTATGCTGTGTTGTGGTAGTCCTATTCTAGTAATTGTGTTTGAATGCATTTTATTGATTATTTTTTAAATGAATCATGACCACGAGTTTATTAAAATGTTTGCATGTAAATACACTTGTTGTGTGACATATAATAATATGCATTTTAAGATGCACACAGACTGCATGATGATAACATGCAGAAGATCTTAAAATGTTATCGTCTGGACTGATTTGTCTCTTATTAGTTCATTTATTGAAAACTAGTGCTTTAAACGAAGTAAATTATTTATTTAAGTTAAAGATCGAATCCCGTGTATTTCTTGATTGCGTTTAAAATTTATGTTATAACATTCGTAACGTTTATTTTATAAAGGTAACACTTTACAACAATATTATGTGATATATATCTTGTCAAGAAGACAATACAATATTGTTAAGAGACACAGAACAGTGATACACTCACTGATGAATTATTAACACATTTAATCAGAACAGTATCTCAGGATATAAAATATTGCTTAATACTTGTTAATATATTGCCACATATATTGTGGACTTGTTTATAAGAAATTGGAATTCTTAGTTGAGTATTCTTTGTACATACTAATGATTATACAAATAAAAGAAAAAATACTTCAGCAAAGTATTTAGGATGTAGAAGAGTTCTTGTTATTTACTTTTTTTACAATACTTTAAACAAATTAATTCTTAGTACATCATCATTTTTAAGATATGTCTAACATAACACCTCACAGATACACATATGGTTTATATATTACAAATGCAAATAACATTAAAATCATAATAATTATGTGATTAATCTTCGAGGCATTCTAATCCTACTGAATTTAAAAACGAAATCAGTGACTTGGCTCCAACTCCAAAACGAACAATTTTGTAATACTCTGGTTCAGATAAATCTACAATTGTAGATCCTTTCCTTAGACTTTGCACTGATGTACCAAATCTGTTGCTATCGTGAAATATGGCACCCAACCTAGGCCATAAATGTTCAAATTCTGATGCATATAGGCAACTTGGTTCATTGCTTACATTAGCACTTGTTAGTGCCAATGGTCCTACTATCTTAGCAACACAATTTATAAATTTGAAATGTGGAACTCTAATGCCTACAGTATCATGATTAGGATTAAAAGCAGGATTTAAATTTTGTGTTCGTTTCAAGATAATTGTATATGGTCCAGGTAATATTGTTGTCAATAAACCTCTTGGTATATGGTCTATGATGCCCCAATGCCCTATATGTTTCACAGAACTAATAGAAATAGATAATGGTTTGTTTTCATCACGATCCTTAATTTTATATAGTTTTTCAATGGAAGTGTTGCTTGATACAACACCAGCAAGACCATATATTGTATCTGTTGGAAATGCTACAATTTCATCTTGTTTCAGTAAAGTAGCAGCTAATGCTATGCTTCTTCTTCCTTTACAGACATAATGATTACCAAAATCTCTTAAGCACTCTATTTCCCCTGGAGCAGCATCTAAATAGGTAGTCATTGGGCCCAAGGATCTTATACTCACGTATGTTCTTTGTCCATTGAGTAAGAAATGAAACTGTATTTTTGAAAATAAAAAACTTGTTAATTCTAAGCAACAAAAAGGCTTAGCAATTATTATATTTCCAATAAAAAAAAGTCATTTAAGTAATATATGGTTGAAATATGTGTAAAATATTACAGGAAATTGTTAGTTTATTTTACTAGTAATAATATCATAAAGATGCAATTCATAGCAATAATTATGCAACGTTCAATTACATGCGATAATATATAAACAATTGAAGATACTAAAAAAAGACTATAATTTGAATTCAATGCAATTATCTGTGTGTTACTTATATACATAAATTAGACATTAATAAACTACCTTTATTAATCGCGCCAGTTGTGACCACATTGGGGATTGCAACATTTATAAAATGTTGTCATAGGTTCATCAGCAGATCTCGTTTGAATTTGCATAAAATATGCTCGAGAATTCGAACACTTCGGGCACCGTTCCTCTGTTGAATCAACGTTTTCCCAAGCAGCGCTTCCACCTAGCACATCGTCGACTTCTTTTAATTTCGGATACGTACGACTGCTCACTCTTCTCGCGATATTAAATACGTATGGACACGTGTTACATGAAAAACGCAATCCTGCTAAAGCTTCTTCTACACGAAGCACATTGCCGCATGTCGGACAAAACATTAACATTGTGCAAACACTGACACAACCAAATCATTACAGAAATAAATGTTACTTTATTTGTCTTTAATATATTGCTGCAGTTAATTATTTATTGATTAATAGAAGACGAACAATTTACGAATTTATTAAAATTTTTATAAATAGCACGAAATAAGCCCTTTTACAATGTTTTTTAATGATCATAAATGATACACGTAACTATAAATCTTACATATTTAAAAAAGTATTTATGTATAGTAAACGAGTATCTAATTGTTATACAATAAATTTCTCTTTATACAGTTACTTTGCTTATATAAAACATAATACTTCTGTCGATTAATTTAATTTCAAGATTAAAGAAATATTTTAGTTCCATTGAGATTATAAATTTATCGAGTACATGTTGGTATGTGTTGCCTTGTCCACATGTGCATCTATCATTTGTCAGCAAGGAGTTGTGAATGATCTTTACACATTCTTTTATAGAAAAAAGTGATTGTTATTAGTTTATTTGAAACAATTGTTATAAACCTAGAATTACTTTATAGTTTACTAAGTGAAAAATGATTTCAGAGTAGATTAAATATTGTTGACAAATATTTAAAGTATGTAAACCATTGATAAAATAGGGTAACAGAATATCATGTGCTTTATTTACAACTATATTCGTTAAATTTAAGTAATGGATAAAGAATTGTTACAAAATTTCGCATCATGACGCAATTTTAACTTTTTTGTGCTTGAAAGTGTTCAAGATTTAAATTATTTAGATAAAAAAATCTATAAGATATTTAAATCGTAACGTGTAATTCTATTTCTACCTTTTCAGTTATGAATGGTTGGATTCCTGTTTAAATGTTTTCTAAATTATTAATGAAAAAGTATAAAATAGAATCACAATTCTAAAAGTACATGTGATTTTGTTCTGTAAAGCATAAGCTATCTACCTGAAACTATTATTTTGTCAATTTCAACATGTTCCAAAGGTACCTACTTAACCTATTTCAACCGGTGTTATTATTGTTAAAAAATGTTATAATTCGAGAAGTCACATTATTTAATTAATTTTTTATTTATAAGAACGTAGCGAGAAAATCCTTCACATAATATTTTATGTATATTTTAGGTGTAAAAGTTTATGTCTAACATCAAACATAAAGTCACGGTACAAAAGCATATTATCAAAGGCAGAAGCAAAAGAAAGAAGAAATTTGCTCTTTGAAGAAGAAACGAAGAGGCAGAGGAATGCAGTAGGAAGAATTGAAAAGATAGAAGTCAAATATCAATCTCCTGTGGAAGAAGTTATACTTATCATGAACAAACATATATCAACTCCATCTGATTGTGCAAAACATATTTCTGAAGGTGTCACCAAAGTGTCTGCTCTTGCTTTAGTTAATGGAATGCCATGGGATATGCACAAACCTTTAACATCAGATTGTGAAATAAAATTACTAAATTTATTGAGCCCAGAGAACAAAGCAGTGAACACAGCTTTCTGGCGAACTTGTTCATTTATCTTGGGTTCAGTTATAGATTCAGCATTTAAGTCAGATGTAAAAGTTCACTTGCACAGCTTTCCAGTGCCAATCATAAAATCAGGCAGTTTTATATATGATGTATATCTTGAATTAGACGATTGGAAACCAACAAACCAAGAAATGCGTGCATTATCTGCTCAATATATTAAACTTTCAAGTAAGGATTTGAATATAGAGAGGATAGAGACCACAGAAAGTGTTGCACTTGACATGTTTCTGGATAATCCTATTAAGTCAGAACAAATACCAGATATTGCAAAGAATAACAACAACAAAGTCACATTATATCGGATTGGTGATCACATAGATATTAGTAAAGGACCTATGGTAGGAAATAGTTCATTAATAGGACGCTGTACAATCGCTGCTGTTCATAAAGTACCAGATAAAGAAAATTTGTATAGATTTCAAGGTGTAGCACTCCCTAAAGGAGTATTTTTAAATCAGTATGCGTTCGGTATATTAGAGAATCGTGCAAAAATTCTTAATACTACGACGTGGTCGTTTGTATTGGACGAAAATAACGAAGATAGCTACGTGGAAGTATCAGCTACAAATTAATTTTGACTAAAAATATAGTATTAATAAAAGTGGATATTCGGTATTCATGCCCGTAATTCCTCGTTACCTGTACAATACATTATTGGAAACAAAGTTTATACAAATATTAATCGTTACCGTTGACATACGTGTAAAGCATTTTATTACCCTCCTACGCATATCTATTATTAAATATTTTACCTGTTAAAAATTAATATAAAACATAATTGTATAATTCCGATGTAAATGTATATACGTATATATATGTTCGTGTGTTACATATGTGCACTCATGTGTATATACTTACAGTATATGTTTCATTAATATATTTTAACTTATAAACCGTAATAATTTACAAGTTTTGATGCACACGTCGTGGGCTATGCAGTTCCCACACGAAATTACCAGGTAGCCTATTATCTATCGACGCCGAGCATGTGACATTCATTCGCAGATAGAGCAACTGGTTCTTACATGTTTTCATCTCGTACGCTTCAAGTTCATCTGATTTTAAAATCGTCCTCACGGCAAGTGGCGCCAATTCTGGCGTGCACTTCAATTCGATCTCGATCGTCACACCAAACAGAGACGGATTCTGCACCTGTTCTTCAGTTTCGACCGCCATATTCGCCGTATTCAACGTGTGGAGGAATTTATTTTCATACGCGTATTTGTTCATGTTCCCGTAGTAAAAGAATCGACCGCCATATTCCCCATATCCCGAGTATGTGGAAGCAGGCGGAGGTTTCAGGGGGATTGTCAAAGGTATCTAGAGAGAAAAGGATATCGATAGGACTATTTACAGACGGTTGCATCGTAGCTCATGCTTTATGTCTTTTGTAAACTATCACCTGCAATAGCAATTCCTGCTCGTAATGCAAAATCTCAAACACGTGTTCGTTCATGCTACCAACTAGACGCCGTAATCTGAGGTACATAAAACGTTGTTCATCCCTCCACGAATTTTCCTCTGCGTTTTTTGAAACCTCCAAACAGGTAAACCAAGCGCGTTTCATGGTGTATCTTAGTTTCATGCCCACAGCTCCTCCGACGCCCCTTTTGTTCGGTATTACTTTGAAGGACAATACTTGTCGGCCTTCTATGAGGCAGTCCAGAATGTCTATGACTTTGCACCCGGAGATTAAAGCCGATCTATCGATATTTCATCGTTATTTTAATCCCTAAATTCATATATTTCTAAAACTACTTTCTACATATTAAAAAAATTATATTTTTGGTGGGATTGAGGAGGCAGAATCATTTTAAAGTGAAGAGAAAAAAGAATTAGAATTATATTGCAAAGTGCTATTCCTATTTATGACATACAGTAATGCAACTAAATTTACTTCGTTGAATACCTCGAAATAGAAACACATTCACAGGGATTAATACTTTTTCGCGAAGTAATTCACCTGTTCACCTTGCGCTCAGAGACCTTTTCGAAGAAGTTCATAAATCGTTTGCAAGTGGCAACGAAGCAGTTCACGCTTGAATCCGGGTTACGAACACCGATAAAATACGCGTAATCCTTTGCAACACCACCGAGAAGTTCGTTCAGGTTGTCCAGTAAACTTCCTGCGTAGAAACATAGCCTCGGAAATTTCTGTTGCTTCGTTGGGGGATGTGTGTATCTCCATGTCACGGCTCGTAGCATTTTGTACTGAGCCCTGATCAGTTCTAGCGCATTCAGTGCTTTGCTACAAGCCAATAACTCAGCGTCCGTTTTCGCACATTTCATGGCATTCTCGGCGCGCTTCATAAGACTCTCCACTCGCGTGCCGGCCGCGAGGAACACGCCATTTAAGACTGTAGCCGCTACCGTTGAACAGTGTCTGACAAAACGAAAAATGATGTTCGATTTTTAATATAAATAATGACAGACTTTCTGAAATCGACGAAAAACACCGAAATAAACAGAATCACCTGGAAACCAAACGGACGGAAGTGGCAACATCGTGAAGAGGCAGAAGTCGAAGAATCATCTCCAGAACTTCAGGCGGAAGTGTGTCCAGGGCATAACCGTGCCAGCTTTGCTCTATTGACGAGGATCTTCCTAGATCTTTTTGTGAATCCTCTTGCTGATTGCATCTCGTTAACGGTAGTTTCTGCCGTTTGTTCACGTTCATTTAAAATAGAGGCACATTTAAAATTAAGAAAAATAAAGGAGAAGCAAAATGGATTCTCCTCCCGTAATCTGTCTGTCGATGCTACTTTGCACTTTTTTCCCTTCTTGTCGCCGATAACGTTGTACAAGCCGTTTAACACATTTTCCTCGCCATTGTAGCACTTTTATTTGTGTTTGAAAATTAAAATATTGCCTCTTGGTAAAAATTTAATAAAACTAAAAATGTCAAGACAGGGCGAAACAGAACAAACGACTACGTTTGTGGCTATCGAGTTTTTAATCGTGTCCTCCTTTTGATTCTCGTTTCACAATATTTGTACAGGGTGCTTCAGTTTTGCGGTTTCAGCTTTTGTTTCGTAGTCGTTACACGGTAATGTGTTTATACTTTAGCTTGTACTACGATGAAAGGTATGGCAGTTATCGAAAATAACGGGTGTATATCATCTTTCGACCGATTAGTCAGAATCACGTAAGTATGTATGTACACGGTGAACGGAATTTTTCGAGTCGAGATTGTCTTTGGTTTCGCGTGTATTGTTTCAAGGGTGATGGAGGGGGGGGGGGTAAGTTATGTAATGTACAATGTATCGCCGATGATCGACGAAAGCGTAGGATAGAAACGATTACTTAAATTACGCATAGTTGTAATTCTTTTTCCTCGAGTGTACAATGGTAGTTACAATTGTTACAATAACTGTACATCATCGATTTGTCGCGCACTCTGAGATGAAATGAAACTTGAGGAACTAAAATTTGGAGATTTCAAAAACATCGGTGACTATGAAAGTGGCCTAAGTCGGATAGAATATTTTCATAATTACCGTCGCGTATGACATAACGTATAAAATTCACTGAAAATAGATTCTTAATTACATTAATACTGTAGGTAATATCATTTCTAAGTGAAATGTTTCAGTTCGAAACGAAAATACTCTAGAATTTCATCTCACAGTGCGCATCATCGTGCAATCTGCAATCCATCGACAGCTTCAACCGATAGTAACTTTCCTTCTAAGACTAACGTTAATTCATCGAACCCTGTTTCCTCGCCAATCCTTCATAGAAAGACCACACTAATCTTCTACTCTTTATTACAGACGAAATGAAAAAAGGAAATTCTTCATACTCAGTAGCTTAAAAATGAGAAAAAATACACATTCATCTAATCACCCTTATTTATCGTGTCAGCGTCGAATCACGTGGAAAATCCTACACAGAGAAGTTAACAGGCATCAGAAGGGTGAATTTAGTTTGGTCCACTGGCATCTCCTCGGATCCACAAGGACTGATGCTGTCCAAGAGCGTTTGAATCGCGTTTTGATTGGTAGGATGTTTCCTCTTGGTGTGCTCCCTTCTGTGCTTCAATTCTTTGAACGTTTTCCCGCATTGTTCGCAAACGTACGGTCTTGCAGCCTCATGAGACCTCACGTGACCCTCGTAATGGCTCTTCCTGACGAATTTCTTGCCACATTGGCCACAATCGAATTGGAAACGGCCTTCGTGAGCAGCCACGTGCGAGCTCAACGTCCACTTAGTCTTGAAAGTCTTCGAGCAGTAGTCACATCTGATCTTAGACGCTGCAGAGTTACTTTTACCTGGTTGCACGGTCCTCCGTGGGTTTTTATTCAGAAGCAACATCTCCTCTAACAGAAAATCATCCTCTTTGTCGGGTTGCTCCTTTGCGTTCTTCTCCAGGGTCGTTTGAGCCTCCAACATGTTTGCTGTGTGCTGTTTCATGTGCTCTTGTAACTCCTCTTCGTCCCGGGAACATGTTCCGCACAGTGCACACACGTTCTTCCCGGGTACCTGTTAAGTATTGGAGAGACATGTACATGAAGGAGATGATATATGACGTTGTAAATCGTGTTTAAGGAACGTGGCTGTGAGTGTGACGGTTAAATTGATGGTGTATCGATTGATAAAGTCAGGAATGTGATAGTTTGGAATCTGACTTGAAGCTTTTTGAATTTTTTTGACGAAACAGTAGATGATAAGCGTGAATGTTGGATGGGGGGAGAATTTTTATCAGATAGGTACTTGGATACTTAATCTGATACTGTGATGAAATTACCATGTTGTATAAACTTTAAATAAAGTTTTTGAAACGTGCTAACATTTTTTAAGGTCCAAGGTATTTACATCTACTAGAATCTCACTTGAAACATGCAAACATTGTAAACATAATGTATTATAGGGACACACCATATAATAATACTAATAATAGGGTAACTGTACTTAATATGGAACACCGCAATATCTCGGCAAATAAGTAACAAACTCAATCGGTAATAGTGTAAGATATTTCGTTAAAAACAAAAGGCAATCATATTCACATTTGAGTTTTAGTTACAAGTCTGTCGTTGAATGCGAAGGTGATTGTTGTTTGGAAGCGTGCAAAAGTTTTTGAGAGACGAGTTAAATAGCGAAACTTTTTAGTTAAGATAAGATAAAAAAAACATTACTTTTGCATGATTTATCATTAAACATGTTTCGTTTTGAGTCTTCAAAAGAAACTTACCGTTAAATTTTCTTTCTTAGTATAATTATTATTTTTCTGTCGAAATACGTATCTACCTAACATGGAACACGTTGAGTTTTCATATTGGGTGTATGTTCCTTATTGATATTATACAGTATTATATTATATTTTTACCATTGTAAGTACATTATATCATTGTACTGCAATTACATTGTGTTACGCTATTATTACTATTATTTTTGATGCAATAGATGGAAGTTGTAGCAGTAAAAATTAAAAGAAAATCTTGGGACAAGGTTCCAAAAAAATGGAAGATATTTGTTTAGTTGTCTTTTTTATTTATATAAATATTCCTTCTTCATAGTAAAGATAAAGTTTCTCAAAATTTCTTTATTTTCCTAGGTGTTCCATATTAGGTACCATTTTTCCAACTCGCCGCGTTTGACTTTTTTTTACACTTTTTACCTCGCCTTCAAGACATGTAAACTTTTGCACAGTTAACTGTTAACATATGAATATCTATTAATTTTGTCGTATTTTATCGTTAGTTTCATTTAACAAAAAGCATGTCTCTACGTTTGGCAAGCTTTTAAAATCAGGTGTTCCATATTAGGTACAGTTACCCTAATAACAGTAATAATAATAATAAGACAGTGATAATGACGATGATAATAGTAATAATAATAAATCATATTCCAAACAATTTTATTCACAGGATTGAACCACAATAAGAATTGAAAACAGCCATCAACATCTCGCAATTTCCTCAATCATACCTTATCGTGTGAGCTCATATGGACCTTCAGTTTAATCTCGCTGGTGTACTTTTTCTTGCAGTGCGTACAGGAATAAGACTTGCTCTCGCGAGAATCATCCGTCCAACTCATTTGTTGCTGCTTATCCATTGTACAATTTCTCATACTATCGTTACTCTCTTTGCCATTCTGCTGCTGTTTGCTCCCGATTATACAATTCTCGTAATCGGACAACTTCTCCTTTCGCATTTCGTGACGAGCAATATGTCGTTTGAGATCGTGCGCCCTCGAGAACGCTCTCCCATACCTGGTGCAGCCAGGATAAGGACAACCTTTCGTTTTGTCGTTTCTTATACGAGACGAAGTATTGTTCGACGATTGTTTGCCATCTTTGTTGCAATCTTTGCATGTCTTCTCGATTTTCTGACTGGTTACCGTGGCCAATTGTGCCGACAATGGTATCACAATGGAGATCGTTTCGTTCGTATTTGGATTCACTATCGGGCCGACGTGAATCGCCGGAGGTGTCGCTATGGATATACCATTCTCGTTGTTTCTGCTCATGATTACGAATTCAAGGCTGCAAGAAGAAGAAACAGGAACGTTCTATTAGCACATCTTAACCCTTTCGTGACCAGTGGGAACGCATAGGACCCACTTGAGTATTCAAACAAGAATTGATCTCGATTTAAGATACATTAGGTTAGATAAATCAAAATATTAAAAAAAAAAAAGAAATTTAGTCACGAAAGGGTTGACACGTTCACTATCTGTTGGATTATATATCGTTGTTTCAATTGAGAAAATTGAGAGAATCTGAATTTTTCAAGGGAGAAGAATATCACTTTGTCGATTATTGTAGAATCACCTTTACACTGATTTTATCCACAAACTATACCATTCATATTTACCTCTTTTAATTGGTGGACAAAATCAGAGCAAAGGTGATTCTACAATGATCGACAAAGTGATATTCTTCTCTCTTGAAAAATAAAAAAAAATCAGTGCAAAAGCGATTTTACATTAATCGACAAAGTGATACTTTTCTCTCCTGAAAAATTAAATTCTTGTAGTTTCGCAACTTTGGGACGAATTTGAACTCGTCCACGTACACACATGTTTCTTCGATACAAAACAAGTCTATGTTTGAATTATTATGAAAATCATATTAAATTAACAGTGTAATTTAAATGTAACGAATGTATGCAAAAAGAAGGGCTAGATAGTTTGTCACTTTTTTACTTAAATTTGTACGCATACTCGTACGCATTCATGCGACAGTGAACGCGTTAATTCAGATTCTATCAGCAAAGGAAACGCGTCTTGAAGAACGATACGAAGTAGAGCGTTAAGCGTGATCAGACTCCTCTTTTCTTTCTTTTTATTATTTTTTTTTTTTTTTTTTTTTAACGAAGAATTTATCCGTGGGTTCACGTTGAACGACGAATCGATATCGTAAAACGTGGTCCTATAGCGACGCGAGAAAGCGTGAAACCGATCATGATGTCCACGTTCTTCTGTTTTTAATTTCCACGTGGGAAATATGCCCTGCTATAAGCATAATGCAGAGGACATCCGTTCACGTTATCTACAGGCTGTTTCAGTGTTTACTCTCGCAAAACAAACAACTACGATTAACCCTTTGCTGACAGAGGACTACGTGCTATGTTGAGATACTTATCACTTGTACAACATATAATTAGGTTAATACTTGAATTATTTTCTTAACCCTTTCGTTACTAGTGGGACGCATATGTTCCACTTGAGTACTCGAGAAAAAATTCATTTCAATTTATCCATTACAAATACAATGATAAATAAGAAATTCTTTAAAAAAATAATTCGATCACGAAAGGGTTAAATTAAATCATATCGAAATAATTTTGTTTTCTTTTGCTAAAAAATGTGAGTTTATTGATTGAGTTCATAGTTTTTTTTATAGGTTCATCGTCCTCAAAGGGTTAACTCTAGAACACTAACGTGGAGAATATAGTGCCTTCAGTAATTTTGTTTCCATGTATGTATACTTTTCTTTTTATGCTTTTAGTTTAAAAATATCATTTGTTTCAATAAACGTGTACTTTTTAATTTTTTCAAAATTTAAAATAAACAATTTAACGAGATTAGTAGAAAACATAATAAAATATTGCTTTTTATAATTAAACTGATGTTAATATTCCAGGGTTAAAGAAAGAAAGAAAAATGTTTCATGAAGTGTACGAAATTTCTTCCATAGATGAAATAAATATAGAAATCTTTTTCATTCAGTTTAATTTAATATTTCTTTTTTTTAGATTTGCAACTATCGATATATTGTCTGCTCTCTATTATCTTGTGTACAAGTGGGTCCAGGCAAATAAACAAATAAAAAAATAATTATTGCAGATTACTAAAAGGTCCTGTGAAACGTCCAAAATTATTGGACCACCCTATGCATGTAAGATACCAATAAAGAAAAGAAAAGGAGCTTCGAATACGAACTTTCCCTGGAACAATAGCATCGAGGTAGCCGTAGCAGCGCGTGCACAACAAAAGCGGCGGCCATCTTGGATCGAACAATTGCCCCTGAATGAATCGAATTCGCGACGCGACAACAGGGCGTATGTACATGTACTTTCATTCACGAGCAGCTCTGTCGACGAAACGGGTTTCTTACTTGACTCGCAACCTTGCTCCCCTTTGATTCTTCGATCGCCTCCCTCTTTTGTTCGACACGTCAGAGGTCGTCTCAATGATTCATTCGTTCTCACTTCTCCTCCTCCTCCATCCTCCCCCTTAGAAAGGGCGATACGACGAGTCGAAGTAACACGCGACTCCACCGATCACAATTATTCTTTCATTCCTTGTTCATTCAATATTACTTGTTTTTCTTTAATATTCGATCACTGTGTATATAAATATAATACCATCTAGCTTCTCAATCTTTCTTTTCTCTCTCTCTCTCTTTCTCTACGAAATTTATATATTTCACGGTCACATATTTTCGTGGCAGCAAACCACGATGCGATTTAATACGTCGTCGATGTCCAGCTTTCTCGTATGATTCCTAAACGAAACACCCCACCCGGTTTCCAATGTTGGCAAAAACGTACGTTGAGTATCGTTTCTTGTTTATTTTTTTCCGTGATCGAACGGAATCCGTTTTCTCCCTTTCTCTACAGTGTCGTCAGTTCTCTCTTCTCTTTCGACGATTCTCAGGTGGTGTACGTTGCGCGTGTGTGCTCACCGTGTGTTACAAGCGCGGATGAATCCTCGACTCGACTCGACTCGACTCGCTCACTTTCCTCGCCGCGATGAAAGTGTGCTACTACTGATCAGGAACGCGCACTCTCCCTGTTCGTTTCACGGACGCGGCTCCTTGCGCATGTCAACGTCTGCTCGGCTGATATTATATAGTTGCAAACGGGGAGTATTATCACGATGTTACGTTTTATAGAATTTTTTTTTTTTTCATTTTTTATTGGGGGAGTTTTTGTTGGTTCGATAATACTATTTTGAATGAACATGGTTGCGTTGGTTAAGTTTGTTGATGATGAGAAAGATTTGAATTGCATAGATTTTGGTTTAGTTAGATTGAGTTGTATTGGGTATTTGTTAAGCTTAAGTTGGTTGTTGAATAGGTTGAAGTAAGTGGGATTATGTTTGTACTGGAATTGAATTGATTTGAGTGTTTATATTTATTAAGGGTGAGTTGGTTCTTGATTAGGTTAAGATAAGTAGGATAAGTAGGTTTTTGACAGAACTGAATCGATTTGGATTAAATGTTAATAATTGAATCAAAATATGAATAATAAAATTAATATTAAATCTGAAATAATTGTCAACTTCTTCTTCATCTAGATAGATCTAGATTGGATTTAGCAAAGTAGGATTAAGTTTATACTAAAATTGTATCGGTGTTGGTGAAATATTATTGAATTGAAAGTATTATTATATTAGATAAAAAATATTGTACTTTAACTAAAATCGTCAATCGTAAAAAATAGTTATAATTAATACAGAGAATGAAAGTGTAATAAAAATGTATTATACCAGAAGAGGAGAAAATACGAAGTGGTTGGTTGACTGCGATGGAAAGCGATGCGTGCGAGCAACCCTTCCTTCTTAATCGAGCCGCCTTCCATTATACGCGTATGTACGCATGCATACACGTGCATGTATACATATTTTATATAAGCATGTGTTACTCCGTACGTAGAAGCGGCGGAAGGGTCGCGCACATCGATCTGATGATCCTAGCCACCTTCGCTATGGAATTTCTATAGGCGTGTTCTATAGACACTAACTACGTACATACAAATGCAATATAAAATAGTTGGAATTAAATTATAATCTATTTACAATTCTAGAATTAAGTTTTGTTTTCTTTCTTTTCTGTTTTTTCTTTCACAACTTTATTATTCACTGTTCAGTGAAATTGCCAGATTCACGAAATTCCTCGTGTCACGTAATACAATGGAAACATTACCAAAACGACTGTTAATCCTCAATATTAAATGACACACCTTCTCAACATCCCCAGAGATTACAACAGGATTAATCAGCTAATGGTTTGAGGACGAGGATAATTAGCGATGAAAGAGCAATTCGTGGGAAAAACGATATCGTGTTTTGTAAATCGACTCACGATTTTTAACTACTTTCAAACAAACTCAGTTTTGTCACAATTATAATATACAGAGTAGGCGAAGGAAAAACGAAACGTCGAAGGTGAACTGGAAAATTTCATTTGGTAGAAATTTATGTCAACAGTGAACTGGAAAATTTCATTTCCTGAGGAACCAACTCAGTTTTGCTACAATTGTAATATACGGCGTACGCAAACAAAAAAAAAAATAGAAAAAAAAACGGAAAAATAAATGTCAGAAGTGAACTGGAAAATTTCATTTAGCAGAAATTTACGATTTAATCAGACGCCATAAACGCTTGTTAAATACGGACACGTGTACTGACAACGACAGCTGCACGATCCCGTTATATTAGCCGTCTAATGTAATTAGTATTTGCTAATCAACGCAAGTGTGACGGGCACGTGAAGTCTAATCAATTAGGTAATCTGAATTCCATATATAATGTATGTGCGTATACAATCATATATGGTTATTGGATTCTTCTTTCTCTTTCTTTTATTACTTGTAATGTTACTTTTACAAAAATCTTTGCAAGAAACTGATAATAACTTGGTAATTGCCTGAAATATAGTTTCCGTGAAACATGAAGTTCATTGAAGTTTACCGTTCGTTGATAGACAAGTTTCTTACTTGTAACTCCCTTGCATGTAGAGCACAGAGAAGTTTTCCTACCCGTAGTCTTCTATTCCAATAATTTATGCTTCTCCTCTAGGTTTCTTTGTATTTAAGTGATTCTTCTGTTGTGAAATTAGTCACGCAAAATTGTTACAAAATTCCTGAGAAAAAAGAGAAGAATTATTTCATTTATGAGGCCATTCCCAGAACACCAAAATTACTAAAAAATTTCTGAGGAAATAAATTTTCCAGTAGATTACCTACATCTCTATAAGAAAGAAAACTCATTCCTCTTACGATCGAAACACCAAAATCGCTGGAAAATTTCCGAAAGAAAAGAGAAAAATTTATCAAGCCATCTCTAAAACATCAAAATTGTTACAGTATTCCTGAGAAGAACGTTCCAGTACATTAAGACCCTTCTAAAAAAGAAAGACAAGTCATTCCCCCCATGAGGCTACTCCCAAACTCCAAAATTATAAACACCAAAATCGCTGGAAAATTTCCGAAAGAAAAGAGAAAAATTCATCAAGCCATCTCTAAAACATCAAAATTGCTACAGTATTCCTGAGTAGAACGTTCCAGTACATTAAGACCCTTCTAAGAAAGAAAGACAAGTCATTCCCCCCATGAGACTACTCCCAAACTCCAAAATTACTACAAAATTCCAAGGAAAATGTATTTTCCAATAAACCACCACTTCTAAGAAGAAAAAAGGAAATGAAGAAGAATCGATGACAACAAGCAAAACAACAAGTACCATTAACTACAGAATAATTCTGTAGAACAGGAGCTCTGTTGGATAGAGCAGTTCGGTAAACGAAACTCGATCAGAGGCTGCTTTCGTATGCTAAGTGGCACGTATTAAGCTAATTAATGGATGCACCTCGGCATAATTTGTGTGCTCTGCCTCTCTTAGTTACCACAACGTACGCGTCCTTGTAGATCGATACTTCTAATTTCATCGGTTTCTAGGAGAGGAGGAGAGGAGGAGAGGGCGGTGTGAAAGCGGTGGAAATACAATCGGTGCGCTTGTCATACGCACAATCGCGGTGGTTGCGTAACGTTGAATCTACTCGACGAACGGAAAAGGGTGAAACAACTTCGTTTTCCCTCCATCCCTCCACCATTTTTATAGGGAGAGTCATATAAATGCAGATGTTCGTATTCCGTGTGTGAAAACATCGGTTTCGTTTCGTTCTATGTATGCATAGGTGGATTCCTTAGCCTCTGGCGAATGGCTTTTCTTCGAAAGTTGCCACTGGTTGCAGGCTGCATTTCCATAACGCACGAGATGTATGTATACGAGCGTTCGCTTTGTTCCCTCCTAGGATCGGGATTTTATGGTTTTCCGTTGTACGTATACCTACTGTTGCCTGGTAGATGCAGGTACATTCGTTGTGATTGTTTGTAGAGTATTTTCGTTATTTTGTGAGAAAATTTAACACGTCGGGAATTTGGATACTTGGAAAATTCTGAAAAATTGTGGTTTGTGGGTGATTTTAATTATTGGGCAATTTGGATTGAGAAGAGTTTTAGAGTGATTTTCGATTTTTAGAGCGATTCAGAGCAGTGGGAAATTTGGAGCAATGTTATATTTAGAACAGTGGGAAAATTGGGGCAATGGGATGTTTAGAGTAGTGGGAAATATAGGGTAATGGGATATTTAGAGCGCAGTGGGAAATTTGGGACAACGGGATATTTAGAGCAGTGGGAAATTTGGGGCAGTGTGATATTTAAAGCAGTGGAAAATTTGGGGCTACAGGATATTTAGAGTATTGGGAAATTTGGGGTAACGGGATATTTAGAGCAGTGGGAAAATTGAATCGCTGCTGTATTTACAGTAGTGGGAAATTTGGGTCAGTTGAATATTCAGAAAGGTGGAAAGTTGGGGTCACTAGAAAATTCAACTTGACAAAACATTCACATCAGTGGGATAATCAGATGAGTGAAAAATTTGGATGAATAAAAAATTCAAATTATAAATAAACTGAAATTAATAGAAAATCATATAAATATCATAGTTTAATAATATTTACATAAATACTACCTAAACGTCAAGGTACGAGAGTCCTACCACAAAAAAGATAATTATAAATATAGCGTATCATCGTCATTGTTCATAATATTTCTTATCCACTTCACATAATACTGTATCCTAGTATAAACGTCAGGATATCCTGGCCTGGCACATCCTGATCCAAAAGAAGTGACTCCAGCCAGTTGCCATACTCCATCTGGACGGCGACATTGCAGTGGTCCACCAGAATCACCCTGAATTAAAAAGAAGAAAACAGAAGAAAATTCAACAATATTAATTAATAAAAAATATGTTTAATATGTACGAGCCAAATTTCAATGTTAATTACAATATAAAATTAAGAAGAAATATGATCACGAAATTAGAAGAATATTTATGAGATTATTCATTATAGTTTATACAGTTTTAACGAGCACACAGTTTTAGTTAAGCGATTAATTAAATTAAACGAGATACTGCGATTTAGATGGGACTAGTATGGAGAGATTTCGATGCTAATCTTACGGTATAAATAGCAATCTTATAAGTAAAGGATCCATCGTTTCATTTCAATAGCCCCGTCGCTGGAGGTCAGGCTGTATTATCCAGAAAATGAAAAGACTTTAATCTACTTAAGTGGATTCTGATGATGATGACGATCGATAGAAATCTCGTGCAATTTTAGTTGAAACGTATCGAGTAGGAAATTTCAATCTAACGATGGTGAGATTGTTTTAAAATTTGAACAAACAGTGTAATATAGAATAATAATACAGTATATACCAAAAGTTTCAGGACACTGAGTTTAATAATTAAAATTATTGCCTTTCTCAGGTGTACTAATTCAAATATATTTCTTTTTAAATACATTGAATCTAGGTAAAATAGAAATTTAAATTATTATACTTACCACACAACTTCCCGATGAACCGTCTGTGTGACCAGCGCAAAGATGGCCGCTACGAATTGGCACCGATTTCCCATAAGCTTTCGTACATTTTTCGAGATCGAGTAATGGCACTGAGGCTTCTAAAAGAGCGGTGGATAGTGATTGAGAGGGTCCGTATCGACCCCAACCAGAAGTCACGCACTGCCCTTTTCCAAGCTCCTCTTCCGGTTCCGGTAAACAGATCGTTCGCACCACCTTGGATAATGGAGCTGGCCTAGCCAGTTTCATCAGAGCTAAAACAATAATTTCTAGCTAATTTTTAAATAACTTACTCTATTATTGATTTTTAAGAAAGTAAAATATCATTATGTATTTTTCTCCGATAATTTTGAATTTTAATGGTGCAGAATTTTTTGGTAATATGTACTTTTAAGGTATTTTCAAATATCCTTTACCACACCGATTCATATAGTTAAACTTCCAAATACTTCTAAAAGTAAACTGAGTACAAATAATAAGAATAAATTTTAACAGTGAACAATGTTTTGTAATGAAGTGTTTGAAGTATTTCTAGAGCACCTTTTAACGAGTTATTAATTCAGTTGTCCATTAAAGTACGCGCGTATCGTTGTTTCAACAGTTTCAACCAATGTTCAAATCTGAAAACGTTTTGTGTTTACCAATGTCGTGCATGTAATTATTGAATCTCTCGTGGAGGATCACTCGTTCAACAGGTAGCCTCGCCGAGCCACGTCCGCCGGAGTCCAATTCCCATTCTCCGACGACTACCGTCCATAGTGCACCAATTGGTAAATTGAAAAGCTCGCTGTAAGTAAACATTGAATCCCGCTTATCGTTCAGACGAGGTGGAAAAAAATATTTTCCTACCGAGATTCTCACTACCCTCGTTACCCTCGAAAGGAAAAAGAAAAATTGAAGACACTTGTAAGGACGGTTAAAATTTCTATTTAAGCCACCATCCTTTTGGTAATGAAAAAGAGAATTAAAAATTCTCGAAACTGTTATTCTTCAATCTTCGCGATAGAGTTTCTTCCCCAAATAAACGACCTTGAGACGTCCTTGAAATTTCCTCCAATTGTTTCCTTCATAATTTCAAAATTATCAACATCTTCTAACCTAGTCTAACCTCAAAATTATTACCCCCTAATTTCCACGATAAAATTTCTTTGCCAAATAAAGGAAGATATAATAAATGACCTTGAAACGTCCTTAATAGTTTCCAGGTCAATACTCTCTGTTAAGAACAACAAGTTCAGCGTTATTAATTCAACACCTAACCTAACCTTTTTAGTACACGTGATAACATTAACTACACTTTGAATTTATAGCTATAACGCTCGCTTAGATGCAATGAAAAGTGAAACCCACTTATGAATACAATGGGCAGCCGTGACGACCCATGTGGGTTCAATGAGAACGCCACCGCACCAATGGCCAATAAATCCCAGCTTTGGATGGAGAAGTTGAAGAGACACCTGCCAGGGCCAAGAGCCCCGTTTGCTCGGTTTCCCGTTGAAGATACGTCCTGTTGTTATTCCAATGTTCTTTCGCTCGTCCACAGCGGAGGAAGTGACGTTTCTTTCCAATCGAATGGCCCGTGGTTGTCTGAGCGACGCTGCTGGACATCCGCAGGCTGTTATTCAAAAACTCAAGTTTCCCACCTAGATGACTTTCATGTATAGTTAACTGATATCAATTGTTTTGCACAAATATGTAAAACTTTCAGTGTATGCAAATGACAGAAATTCTGTTCGACCATTGACAGAAAAATGATAGAAAGTCTGTTTGAATATTTTCATTGAGATTGGATCAGAAAGAAAGATGATTGTAGATTCTTGATTAGAGTAATATTAACTTGTCGATGATTTTCACGTATAGTCAACTGATATAAATTGCAATGAATCACATGCTTCTGTTTTGCACAAATAAGTATGTAAACGTTGAACGTATGCAAATGATAGAAATTCTGTTTGAACATTTCGAATATTGATAGAAAGATTGTGGAAATTCTGGTTACACGTTTTTTTATGGTATAGCTATTGGTTCAGATCTATAAAGCAAATTTTCCCATGGAATGAAAATTTTTCTCTTCGAAGAAGAAAGTTACTTAAAAAGAAGAGAAACGAGCCCCTGTAATTTACAGAAGAAATGTTCACGAACACAGGGTGTAAATGGCAATTACATGAAAAAGAAAAATTTGTGACAGAAGACAGAAGAGTCTTTACTAACTTAAAAAAAGAAAAAGACATTGGAAAAAATAATGTAAAAGATAACAATTCATCGTCGAATTTACTCACGCGAATGATTTTCCCGCACGATCCTCAGGATCGCGCAGTCGAGATCCGCGAGAACGAAAAGAAGTATCGTCAGTCCACCGCGAAGATTCATTTCCAAGGATGAAAGCACACCATGCACACACACCTGTCTCCTTCGTTATTTCTCACTCTTCATACTTCCTTCGATTCAACACTCACAAAAACCACCAAAGATCGATCAACCAAATAATAATAAATAATTCTACGAACCAATGAATTCCTCGGAGTATCGAACAATTTACTTATCGGCACGCATAATTGGCAAGAAGTAACATTGGAAGAAAAACTTGAACGAGAAGTGTGTTTAAAAGGACAGTGGAGAGATGAAACGAGAATGCGAGTAATCGACACGGAGGATCGATCGCTAGAACGAGTAAATCCTTGGAAGGAACCTTAGAAGAAAGTGTTCGTTGACGATACCCATCGAAGAAGGGGAATACACTTGCGATCACGACGAACGAATGGAAACTGGCAGCTCTTAAACAGACGAATATCGCTCTCACTAACGAAAGTTACCTCTCGGTGCACGCTTGTTCCTTCCTCGCTCTTCTCATGCCAATTAGAAACGTTCATTTGCTACTGGAACACGATTATGATTCACGTGTCCCCATGACGTTTTATAAACGCTCGCAAAAAACGTGCTAACGTTCGACGAATCCTTCTTCGTTTTTTCCCTTAACACGCCGCCATTTCACTCTCTGTTGAACCAGTTTCAGTCGATGCAGAGAAATTTTTGCGTTCGTCCGAGGACGGAAATTTGGACGACTCTCACTTCGAGAGGGAAAACAATTCACGAAGAAGGGAAAGTTAGGATTTTTTTTTTTTTTTTGGTCAGGTAAAATAGAGGATGTGAATTGAACTGAATTTTAGATAGGTTATACTGAAATGACAAATAATAGAATATAACTCGTGACTATGATCTCTAATTTAACTTGCGAATAATTAAATCACGAGATATTGAATTATTGCAGTTCAGAAATGAATTATGAGAGGTTGAATTACCGCTACGCGGGATTAAATTATTCCTAAATAGTTTACAAAGGAATTCGTTTATCAAGGTAAAATGTGTATAAATGATGAAATTTGGGAATAAAGATTCAATGTTTTGTATGTTTTTTACGTTTAAAAATTTTTAAAGGTATACTGGTTAAAGTTAAAATTTTTAAAAGCGTATTTGAAAAATTGATCTAAATATCGATGTAGAATTCGACACGAACTTCGACCTAATCTTTCAAGTATAATATTTTTGCTTAGAAAACTGAAATCTGAAGACCCAATTCGCAGTGTAAAAGCATCAGATCGTCCTCTCAGCTCGTAACGTATAATCCGTTATGAATCATTTGATCGTAGTTTCTCGTAATTACGCATCATCGATGTATTAGGAGAACGAATGATTTTTGTTTTATCTACGCAGAAATTACCCGATACAGCAGCTTGATTACAAGCAGGCGTATTAATCGTTCTCCAGAGACGCGGATTCCCGTTGAGAAACGTAAACGCACGCACAGGTCGTCAATTTCACTGCAACATCGGAGATGTCAGTGATGCTGACCGATATTTCTATAGGATGGTTCAAAAGTAACGTGTCGATCTGCTAGGAATTTTATTCGTCAAAACCTGTATAAGTCACTTTTATCACCCGAGGCAATTTGAGTCTTCCAAGTGAAAATGTACACGGTTGCAAACTAAGATTAATAAGATTTGAAAATTAGATTTCTGAAACAATCTATATATACCTATTCTTATTAAGGTGATTTAAATTTCACAAATGGAAAGATTATTTTTTAATCTTTTCACAGTGCAAGATTGACAAGTGTTGCGATTGAAAAATTGGAAAATCCTCTTTGAAACACCCTGTATAATTATATTTACGAAGTGTACATGAATTTTGTATTAAAGAAAATATGAAGCTTGAGTATCTTCTGATTTTTTGGAAGAAACTCTGATTCGAAAATAATAGAACTGCGTTCTGTAGCATCCTGTAGAGTTGCTCTAATCGAGGCCATTTCCATGGCAAGGAAAGTGAGGAGGAATGCAGCTCACAGTTGAGATAACTATTTTCCAAGTTTAACATGTTCAATTAGACTCTTTTTCTGAACAACATTTTCTAACATAATTCTGTCCAAAAGCAGTTCTCAAGCGTTATGTATCACAACATTCAATTAATGTTTATAGGAATATAAATTGTTTTTTCATTGTAGCTCGAAGGAAATTACACAAATTCTCCAAGGCTTATTATTATTTCTTTCATGGTGATATTCATCAATTTCCCATTATGTATACCGCAGCTGATCCAAAAGCAACACTTTTACGGAATCGCCTTTGATCGTGAAAGTGAAGACAGTAAAATCGATGAAAGCGATCCTTTTGTTTTTCCAAAGCGATTTAACATGACCCTAATTTGTGTGTTTCACGTTCAATTTAAAGTTCCCTCGTGCAGAAAATTGAAACAATGTTTTATTCACTCTCGATCCCGATGAATTTTTACAGAACACCCAAGAGAAACCCGTCCGTTCTCTTCCTCTAACGAGGATTCTTTCGTACACTTGCGAAATATTATTCCTTTAACGGTTTTATGAAATCGATACAATTTATTTTCACTCGTTAATTACGATAGAGAAAGTTCGAAAAATCCACTTTCTGACACTGAAAAATATAGTTCATGCACCATTTACTAGCAACCTCACGCTTGTATTGGTTATTCATTTTTTCATAACCTTTATGGAATTGGATTAAATTAAATTAAATTATACAGAATTATTTATTACAATTTTAATTGAAAAGAAATTAAAAAAGGTTTAAATTTGAAGTGTTAACCGGATGTGGAAATATTGTGGTAATTTCAAAAATGCAATATGGCGACAGGAGAAGTATGGGAATGTACACGAAAGAAAGCAAGAAGACACATTGAGATCGATTACTTATATTCTGTTCAATTCGCATTGATACCGAACTACAACGGTACATATGTACTCATTTTGTTTTATTACAATCGATTGCTTTTTTTTTTTTTTTAATCATTCCAGTCGACACAGACTAGGAGTCGAATTTACAGCAATACATCGCGAGTAAGCAAAACAGCCTAATTGATACGGCGTCCTTTTTTCCTTAGATCAACCAGACTTGAGAATCGTCACGATATACATATACAGTAATAAGCGTGCTGGATGTGTAAAAAGACGGAATAGATTGAATCCATTTAGGTGATAAAAATTACTACAAAGTACCTTATAAAATGTAATTGACAATACAATGATATATAGTCAATCAGAACATTTCCTGCTAAGCGATAAAAAAATTTCATGACAATGCTGAATGATCGCGAACATATTCCATAGGTCTTAAATTAATTTCTCTGGATAATTTATTTGCTTTAAATTGTTGACAAGAAGATAACTTCTAAAGTTAAGAATTGTATTTTAACAGAATTTTTAATATTCCTATAATTGTCCAAAATACACGAATATTTTTATAAAATTTTTTAAACGAGCAATATTTACGTTGAAAATTAGTGAATTTCTAAAAAAAATTTGATAAAACTCGTCCCAATCATTCAACACGTTTAGATCGCATTTGATCGAGCAAAAAAAAAATCAAAGTACGCGCGCTCAGCTCTGTTGTGAAACAACGAAGAATCGAGGACCTTCTTCGTCAAATTACGTTGCATCAGTATACAATTGATCAGTGTGTGTGTGTGGATGGAAAAACAAGTGTATTTACAATATTTAAGGAGGCAGTATTTACACATCGAAAAGTCTAACAAACAGTTTCTCGTGCACGTGATTTTAATCCTTATCGATCACTATTATCCTCGACGATTAATATGATTGTAGCAACATTACAGGAAAGCGATCGCGTGACTTGAAATTACCGAAGAAATCACATAACCTCACAGGGACAAGATGTCATAAGATAACGCGAAATTCGAAGATTATATTTTCTTTCTCGTACTTTGAACTGTATCGATCGATCGAAGATGAGAATTCTTCAAATTCACAACGTGACGTTTTCTTTTGCAGACGATTGCTTTTTAGAACTGTTCTTTATTGTCTGATTATTGTTTCGCTTCGCACAATGTTCCAATGATTAGTTCGTTCGCCCTCTCAAAAATTAAAAACACAAATGGATAATATTCTCAGTGCTGGGTGCAACATACATAGTTGAACGTTTTCGATAAATCATGATCCGTTTCATTGTAATGTCTAATTCTGCGTGTTTTCCTGTCATTTCGTTTTGTTACACTTGTCTGTACATATTTATAAGAGATCATCGTTATTGTTATCGTACAAAGGTAACGAAGCGAAGGAACATTGTTAAACGATGTCAATTATCCTAAAAATATATGTACTCTTTACATCAACCTTTTTTTTTTTTTTTCATTCTTCTTAACCTCGTTCGGCACAAATTCTGATCGTACGCGAAGTTCTTTAATCTTTCTTACGCAAGATACGTCCAAATCTATCAGGATCGATTATTATTACATATGGTACGTTGATATCGACAGAGTCGTAACACGGTGAAAAATTTACCATGGTAGTCACAGAGGAGAACATCTCATAAACTGATTTGACACACTGCTCGAAACAATCAGATCAGGTTAATAGATGGTTAGGTTAATAATTGAATGTTAAAGATTGTAAAAAATAGTTGCATCTAAGCGTCATGAACGTAAGAAAATACTTTAAGATTAATTATTCTTGATAGAATAACATTTTGATTAAGTTTCAAATTTACTTTGTTTGATTATGTAGGTTAGCAGGTTAGGAAAGTTTCCAATGTATGGTTTTTGGTGATGTAGTGATGTTACGAGTGGTATATAATTGTTTTGAGCAGTGCATGAGATGATGAGACATTGCGACAGTGAAATATTACGCATTTACTTTATAAACATGATATAAGGTGTATTCTGCATTAATCACGTGATTTCGGCGGACATGTGCGAGCAATTTGTTCTTTTGAAAAGAACAAATATTGTGAAATGAATATTTACAATTCATAGTACTTATAATTTCAGAACATCATATATACAAGGCAATTTTTACTTCAGTGTTTACAAATCGCTATAATTATGGA